AGACTTGGCTGAAGCATTCAGTGAAGAAGAGTGTAATGTCTTACCTCCCCATTGAGCCACTGATTGCGCCATAGAATTAGAGCCTGGGGCAAAATTACCAACACCAAAGATGTATTCCATGACGCCTGCTGAAATGACTGAATTAAGGAAATACATCGACAGCAATTTGGAATGAGGTTTTATTGAGCCTGCCAAATCAAGACTAGCTGCCCCCATGTTGTTCAAGGAGAAAAAAGATGGCGGGTTGAGTTGCGTGTTGACTTTAGAGGCATGAACGCCATATGCATCAAAAACATGTACCCTCTTCCCCTTATGAAGCACTTATTGAACCACTTGTCGAAGGGCAAGATATTCACCAAGCTAGATCTCAGGGAAGCTTACTACCGGGTCCGCATCAAAGAGGGAGATGAGTGGAAAACTGCTTTTAACTGCCTTCTGGGTAGCTTCCAATTCAAAGTCATGCCTTTCGGACTTCAGGGGGCTCCTGCAGTGTTTATGCAGCTCATCAATGAGGTGCTAGACCTGCACCTTTACCAGGGGGTCCTTGTGTACCTGGTAACATCCTTATCTTCAGCGAAACCATGGAAGAACGTGTTCAATTAGTCCGACAAGTTCTAGAAAAACTTCTAGCCGCCAAATTATATGTGAAACTCTCAAAATGTGAATTCCACAAAGAGTCCTTGGACTACTTAGGCTACCGAATATCCAACCTGGGGATTGAAATGGACCCCGGAAAGGTGAAAGCGGTGCTGGACTGGCAACCACCCCCCAAACCCGAAAACAACTTCAAAGTTTCTTGGGCTTTGCCAACTTCTATAGACAGTTCATTCCATCCTTTGCTGAAGTTGCCCTCCCGTTGACGGAGCTATTAAAAATGGGCCCGCTGCCCACCAAACCGAAGCCAAGTCAACCCCTGGCTTGGACTATGGACTGTCAGAAAGCTTTCGAGACCTTAAAACGCCTCTTCACAGCTGACTTTCCCACCAATGTCAGCAAGCCACCCCAGGTTGGATTTCCCTCCTCCGCTGTTGGTCTTACCTTCCAGTTCCAGCTCACGTGGCTGTACTCAAGGTAAGGTTTGCGCTCGGCCGAAGGGTGAGGGCCAGCGGGTGGGTGGGCCATGTGGGCGGTACAGCCTTGTGTTCCCACGCAGCCTGGATTAATTGCTTTGGGGGGAGTGCTTGGGGGGGGGACATTTCTCTGCGGACCACCAAAATTTTCTCGTAGACCACAAGTGGTCCCCAGCCAACCATTTGGCAACCACTGTCTTAGACTCTGCTAATTTCAGTTCTAATGTGGAAGAAATGTAAAAATGGAACCCACATACTACCACGTTTCCCTGAAAATACAACCTACCCCCAAAACAAGCCCTAGCCCAATTTTCACTCCTGTGCTGAATATATGCCCTACTTTTAAAGTAAGCCCTACTTAAGAGCCTGTGCAGCCAGCTGGCTGCCCATTCTGTCTGTTTGCTACCAACATGAGGCGTGTGTGTGTGTGTCACGGCCACTAAGCAAGGCAGGGGGGTGGGGGATGAAACGAGGCAGTGGAGTGGAGGACGAAGCATTGTCTCCTTGCTCACTGCTCCAACAGAGCCAGGAGGCTGAGCCATGCATTGGTGCCGTGGTCACTAAGTGAGACAGTGGGGGGTGGAGGTCGAAGCCCAAACAGTATCCTTGGCCGCCTGGCCTGCAGAGCCCTAATGCTGGCAGACTGAGGTGGTGGCAGCTGGAGCATCCCGTTCCCCATTGCACCTGGTGATGGAGGCCAGCAGGGTGCCTCTTGCTGCCTCTCTTATTCCACCACTGGTTGCCTGCAGCCCTTGGGGAGTTTGCCTTGCCACCTGCTTTCCAGCTCCCACCCAGCTCCCCTTGCTTCCCCAAAGTATCCCTTCACTAACTTGCTTTCAGCTCAGTTCTCCGCCGCCACGTACAGGGCAACAAAAAAAGACTTTCGGACTACCGGTAAAAAAAAGTTCAATCAGACCTTCCAGCTGTCAGGATTCCAGTGATTGCCCTAATTAAATCATGAGCCTCGAGCCAAACTTCAAAAAACTTCAAAGGATTTATTAGGAGCAACATACTGGCATGACCTGTATGAAGCCGACTCTGAGATACATAATTTACAATCACCTATGACCCTGTTTTCCCCCACCCCTCTGGGTGTATCATAATTCAGATTGTCCAACGGAACACGTTCATGGCTGCGTGTCATCACGATCTCCAATAGAGGATTTTTGCACCCAGAAAACCTGGTTGCCTAAGTTACAGTCTTTGTGAGATAAGCCTGGAATGTGCTTCTGAGTTCATTTGCCATATGCTCCTTCAGGGTTCCCCCCCACTTTCTGATGACAACTTGCAAACTGGCATAGGAATGTTTTACAAGTTAACATTCGGTTCTCTTCACTTCTTGAAAGCAACCTGTGGAAAGCAAAAACAAGTTGAGTGTAGGTATAGAATTTATGGTTGCGACCCCACCCTCAGGCTTGGTTGGATTTTCTGCATGTAATCTTGCTATAAGGCGATCAGCCTGGACATTCCTACTCTTTATCCAAGATGCCTGTGATGAGGGGTAGCCTTTCCACTTGATTATGTATTGGAGTTGTCTCCTGTGCCACCTCAAATTGAGGAGTCACTGCATCTCATAATGGGTTTGGCCTCCTATGACCATGGGGTCTGGGGGCTCACGAGGTAGAGGCCTCAGGGTTGATCTGACCATGAGGTTTTAAGAGGCTACTATGGAATACCGGGTGTATCTTCCCTAGCAATTGGGGTAATTTCAATTGCACCATGACTGGGTTGATAATCTTTATTATGGGGAATGGTCCCATAAACTTTGGCCCCAGTTTCTTGCTAGGGAGTCTTAACCTCAGATATTTGGTGGAGAGGTAGACCTTCTTCTCCAACTGGAATGGCCGTTGCGGGGCTTGGTGTTTATCTGCCTGTTTCTTATAAGTCTGTGCTGCTCTAGCTAGCACTTTTTTAACATTCTCCCAAGTTGCTTTCAGCGTTGACATCCAATCGGTCAAGCTGACTGATGAGTGGGGATCCCTTGGATACTCAGGCATTGGGACGAAGTCCATACCGCTCACTACTTTGAAGGAGGTTAGTCACGTGCTACTGTGAACAGCATTATTGTATGCGACCACCGCAAAAGGCAGGATGTCCGCCCAATTTGACTGCTGATAATTCTTCTAGCCCCCCCCGGACCCCCCCCCCCCGGGGCGCTCCCCCCCCCCCCCCCCCCCCCCCCCCTTGGTGCTCAGATGAAAGGCCAAGCTAAGGCCCTGGGACAACCCAACAGACTGCAAGAACTCATTCCAGAACTTAGCCTTGAACTGGACCCCTCTGTCTGAGATAATTCTGTTGTGGTTAGCCGGCAGCAGGTGCAGACGGTGGAGGAGAGCAAGGACTCGGAAGAGGGGCTGGGACCATCAGGGAGTGGACTGCTGCCTTCACAGATGGTGGGAGCTAGCAGCAGTGACGAGGTTTCAGAAGAACCTGTGCTCAGTGCATGTGAGCGCAGGATGATTTGTAAGAGGGAACAGCTGAGGCTGCATAGACGACTCGGGAGTAAGGAGGCAATGTAATGGCCCCTCCCTCTAGGGAATATAAACCTGGTTGCAAATGGTTTTTGCCTTTGCAGAAGTCAAAAAGCATTTGAAGGATTCAGTGTGATGATAACAGACTTTGATTTATTTGAAGGTTTTTCTAATTGGACTACTTGGCTGCAAGCCATCTGGTAACTACAAAGAGGTATTTGTAGAATAAAGCCGTGAACATTTCAGTTTTTGAGTTTATCTTTGTTTTTGCTCTCGGGGAATTCGGCTGGGTCAAAACAGATCTAATCACCATCCTCCCCAGCTAGAGACATCCCTTCAACCACTCCAGCAGGTGCAGGAATAACATGACCTTGACTGAAGAGAAGAATGCTATTATGTCTAACTACCAACACTCTACAATTCCCCCCTCCTACTTTCCCAGGCACAGGAATGTGGCAGCATGGAAGCTTCTGGTACTAATACGGCTTCCAAAGCTGACACAGATTTCTTTTCAGGTGGGGAGGGGGAGTAGAACTCCTTAGCATCAGAGGCAGTGGTGGGATTCAAATATTGTTGCCACCGGTTTGGTGGGCGTGACTTGGTGGGTGCGCTTTGCGCGCATACACACACTTTGCATGCATGCACGCACCAAACATACTTTGTGCAGGCACAGAGGTGTTTGTGCAGGCGCAGAGCCGTTCTAACTCGCCTCCTGCAAGCCTGCACGATCCTGGTTGCTTCAGCAGTTGCCGCGTGGCATTATTCTGTGCCACACAAAGCAGCTGCGCTTCAAATTCAGCAGATAAAAGTGAGTATGGGAGCCCGGGTGGGTGGGAGGGACCAACAGCAGAGCAGTGGAGAGAACTGGTTCGGTCTCCACTGTTCATCGCTCCTACCAGCTCGCCAGAACTGGGCAGAACCAGTCGAATACCACCACTGATCAGAGGGATGTTTGGAAACTCAAACAGTATTTGCTGTGTGAGCAAGAAGGAAGAAGGAGACAGCAAGGAGCCTGGGCGTGGCTTAGCTCAACTGTTCTGTAGTAAAGCTGTTTGCTGCTGTGAAAGTAAAACTGAAACAGAAACTCCTCTCTTCTGCTTGTGTTTTGCATTTGGAAGATATTTCTTTTCAGGTGGGGAGGGGGAGTAGAACTCCTTAGCATCAGAGCGTATTAATAATAATATAGGAAATACTAATGCTCTGATAGTCATTTCAAAAAATCCTTTCTTAGTGAGCACCGAGAAGCCAAGAGGAAGATATGTGCCAAATTTCAAGTTTGTGGGCTTTATGGTTCTGGAGATTTTGTGATGATGCATGAGTGGTTTTTCAATTTTTTATATATAGAGATTGTTGCCCTTATGTATTTCTTATTTAATTTGCATGCATATATGTAGAAAATTACCTTGTTTGCCATGTGTTGTTATTGGAATATTTTTGGTTTCTTTCTCTGTTCTATCAGGATAATATTGGACACCGCTTGCTACAGAAGCATGGTTGGAAGCTAGGCCAAGGCTTGGGGAAATCTCTTCAAGGTAAGTTGAAAAAAATCTAACCATTAAAATATTCAGTGTCCTTCAAGTTAAATTTCTAGTTTAGATTCTTTTCCTTCCCCGTTGCCCTTGCACTTACTGTATTGAGTTTTACATTTATCATTATATGTCAGTCAAGTGTGTGATTTGTATTCTGAATTATGTATGTATACCAGCTTTTATTTAAGGAAGTTGAAAGCTGGATGTTAAAGCAGGAATATGGTATGGATGGGAAATCTGTGTATTGTTCTGTTGACACAAATTGATTAATTATTGTATCATCACCCTTGGTGGAAGAAAGCACAAGAAAAAAAGTGTATGGCTCCTCTCTCTTTTAGTTTAGGAGGAGGTTTCCAAGCTCAGATTTCCAAGCTCAGATTTTAGACTAAAACTGAATATTTTCTGCATTGACTAAAATCTGGGGCTTTGAATCTTGGAACTACTACAGTGATGTTACTCCAAATATTATGTATCAAAACTTAAGGATTTGATTAGTGCAAACTATTTTTTGCTGTAATTTATTCACTCAAATTTGCCTCTGAGAGGTTACACATTTTGCTTAGAAGAATGATTGCTATAATTAACACTGACCCAACATAAACTTCTGATTTTTTTCTTACTAGTTTGATTCCCCACCCCATCTCACCCCCCCATATAACCTAAGCATATTATGTGTACATATATTGAATGTTACTTTTTTTTCCACCTGTGGGAACTTCAGTTGGGCAGTCCAGTGAATCAGCTGCAGAATAATTTAGACAGCAGTATCCATAAAGTAACAAGGTCATTCTGAAAGTAGAATCCAAGCATCTATTGGAAATTATTACATTGCCTATCCTCTAATATATTTCACTCCTATTATGCTCCAGTGCAGCTTACCTATTAATGAAAGTAATAGGGGTTTTTGTACTGCATGAACAATCCGGAATAATTTAGCCTGTTTAAACTCTTTAAAGTAAGCAAGTTAAGCTATATATGAATAAGAGAGCTCCCTGGTTAATTGATTAAGATATAGAAGTGGTTTCACATGCTTCCAGAATTGAAAAGACTGTTCTTTTCAAGGAACAAATTTGATTGCAGAAAGTTATAATGAGAACATTGAAAATAGCACTAGCACTGTAGCTATAGCACTTAGACTTATATACTGCCCCATAGTGCTTTACAGCACTCTCCAAGCAGTTTACAGAATCAGCATATTGCCCCAAACAATCTGGGTTCTCATTTTACCAACCTCAGAAATATGGAACACTGAGTCAACCTTAAGCCAGAGGTGGTATTCAGCAGGTTCTGACCAGTTCTGGAGAACCGGTAGCGGAAATTTTGAGTAGTTCAGAGAACCGGCAAATACCACCTCTGACTGGAGATTTTACAGTATCCTTCCCTGCCACGCCCACCAAGCCACGCCCACAGAACCGGTAGTAAAAAAAATTGAATCCCACCACTGAGCCTGTCATGATCGAACTCCAGACTATGGGTAGAGTTAGCCTGTAATACTGCATTCTAACCACAATGCCACCATTAATTAATAAACTAGTTATTAATATATACAGTACATATAAAGGGCAAACTCTCTTGGCCATAAGTCAATGTAAAATAAAGCTTAAAATATTTATATACATTTTATACTTTAAAACTTTGAAAAGAGAGTATTATTTCACAGGGAAACTTATAAACATAACTTTGGATATGGATAATGTTTTGACAAGTGTAAAGGCTGAAGTCCAAAGTACCTTGTCTGGTTTTTATTTGTGCAGCTGCAAATTGGTTTAATTTAAGATTAAATATGCGCGCACACACACACACGCAGGCCCACCCAGCCCACCCCAGTCACTCTTTATCTCACCTGTGCACCATCACAGCCTGCATTCTCCCACCCGCCATCGTTGTGGCAGAGTGTTTACAGTGTGACTACTATTGTGAGACAACCCAGGCCCAAAACACAGGACACAGAGGCTTTGTCTTTTAACAGTGGTTTATATACAAGACTACTATATACATACATACATATATGTGTGAGGTAAATACCAGGCAAGCAATCAATCTTCAACTCTACACGGAGAACTACAATGGAGATAGAACACGAGGAGAGAGAGACGCCCTCACATGGTCTCCCTTATATAGATAGCTTCTTAAAGTGGCAGTACTCTGTTGACTCATCTTCAGCTCATCATCTTGTCTTACAGCAGCTGGTCAGCTATTAAATCTTCATTACCTTAAGACTCCTTCCATTTAAAGCTGAACAGCTGATAATCCAAATGCTTTAACATATTCCTGATATTTGTCCACAGATTCCATCTCCCTGTCCATAGCATCCTACCATTTTTCTTGTTCTACCTTAGGCAATGACAACATCTCCTGCAAATTATGGGGTTCATACCTAACACTATATACTCTAACCTCATGGCTTCCCCCCAGTATACTTTACTCATGGTGTCTGTATCACACGTTTCCTTCTTTCAGCCACTCCATTTTCAGCCGGCGAATATGGATTCGTTCGTCTATGCCTTATGCCTAAACTGCTTAACCATCTTTGGAACTTATCAGACATAAACTCTGTTCCCCTGTCTGTTTGCAGCTGGCATACTTTATAACCATACCATCGCTCTACAAGCCCCGGTTGAGTACCGACTCAACCATCCAAGGCTGCAACTGCCGTGCCTCCGCTGCTGCCCTTGGTGCTCGCAGCCTAGCTGGCTGCACCCCCACTGTCCCTGCCTGGCTTGCTTCGCCACCAGTGCCGCGGCTCCATCCCACACAGTGCTCACAGCCTAGCTAGCTTCCCTCCCACCATCCCCGGCCTCCAGCTTGCCTGGCTTGCTGGTGGCAGAGAGGAAGGCGAGCCAGGTCCCCACCACCCCACTTGGATTCTCCACAGCTGCTGGGCCTTGCTTGCCAGGGCCAGGGGCTGTGGGCAACCAGGGAGCATGACGCTACGCCACCCGCGTTGCCCCTTTATCTTCTACCCCTTCCCTCTCCCACCCGCTGGCCTGCGCACTTTGGCCAAGTGCGGGTTGCCGCTGTGAGAATGGTGCAAGCCCCATGGGCTGGAAGGTAAGGCTGATGGTGGGGAAAGAAGATCCACACCAGGTTTGCTGCGCTCAGCCAGAGGGCTGACTTGGGGGGGAACATGGCGAGGCAAGGCTGCCTTTTGGGCCCAGCTTTGGCTTCTGTGGGGTCTTCCATGTGGGAGGCCTTAGAGAAAATGCCTCCCCTGAAGATCGTCCGCTCACCCATCCACCAGCAGGGCTGGCCTTGAAGCGGCATGTCCCCTTGTCGCGGGCTGATGTGGGAGCCGAGGTGGAGGAGAGGTCAAGCAGGCTGCAGTCCAGAGCACTGCTTGAAAGGCAGTCAAGCCTCACCAGAGCGGATCTTCCTTCCCCGCCATCAGCCTTACCTTCCAGCCCATGGGGCTTGCACCATTCTCACAGTGGCGGCCCAGCGAGGAAGAGGCGGCTGCCAGAGGGGCACTGCGGGTGGCATAGCCTCGTGCTCCCTGGTTGCCCCCCGTGTCCCCTGGCAGCTGCGGAGAATCTGGGCAGGGGACGAGATGTGGGCAGGTGGGGAGACGAGTGGTGACGTCTCTGCCCTGGCTGGTTCGCCTTTCCCTCTGCCACCGGCTTTGGGAAGAAGGTAAGGTTGCAGGCAGTCGGGACAGCCGAACTGCTGCCTAGCCCAGAGCTGCTGGCGGGGTAGGTGAGGTCGCAGTGCATGCCTCGCTTGAAGTTCCCAGCTCTTTGTTTAAAAATCTCCCAAAAGAGGGAGGGGAAGAAGTCCTGCCTGCGGCCCCTTTGTTGGACCCGGAAGCCTTGCCTGTAGGCCTTTCTGGGCAATGCGGGACCAGGCGGAATAATCCGTTCATGCCTGGTCCCCGGGAGACTGGCAGGGAAGAAGCCTCGACACTTTTCTCTCCGCTGTAGTGAATTCCAAGGCGCCAATCACCCGAGGTTTCCTGGGATGCGAGCAATGCTGCCGGGTGCTTGGAAAGTACTTCGGCAACCAGCCCACCACTAAAAGCAAACAACGAGGCAAGGTGCGAGAGATGGTTGGAAGCATGTGTGTGTGTGTGTAATGGCCGGTTTAATCCAAAGGAGTTTTTGTTTCAGGTGGGTCTCTTAGCTTTAGAAGGAGAGAGAGAAGGAGGAAGAGAAGGGAAAGAAAGAGCGAGAAAGAGAGAGAGAGAGAAGAGAGAGAGAGAAAGAGAAGGGAGAGACAAGAAAGAAAAGAAAGAGAAAGGGAAAGAAAGAAGAAGGGAGAGTGAAAGGAAGAAAAGCAGGGGTGGGTTTCTACCAGTTCTGTCCACCTCTGTAGAACCGGTAGCTCTGAAGAGCAGCAGACAGAACCGGTTCTATGTCTGCTGATGTTTTTGCCCACCCACCCACCCAGGCTCTTACCTGATCTTTATTTCCTGATTTTTCAACTTCAGCTGCCAAACGAGGCACAGCTGCAGTTAAAAAAGGAAAAGAGGGCTGTTTCAAAGGCTGCTTCTCTGCACGCAGCGTGCTGATGACGATTTACAGGCGCGCACTCGCAGCATGCAGGGAAGCACATCATAAATCACCGAATCTCGTAAACCCCGAACCGGTAGTTAACGCTGTCGTATCCCACCCCTGAAGAAAAGGGATAGACAAAGAAAGAGGGAGGGAAGGAAGGGACAGAAAGAGAGAGAGAGAGAGAGAAAAGGGAGGGAGGGAGGAGAAAGTGAATGGGATATGGATGGATGGATGGATAGATACATGGAAGGAGGGAGGAAGGGAGAGAGAAAAGAGAGGAATGAAAGACACAAACCCTGGCTTCAGAAGACTTTTTTAAACAGCACAGCAATCTAGGGCTGGAAGGGATCTTGGAGGTCATCTTCTAGTCCAACCCCCTGCTCTAGCAGGAGACCTTATATTAGTGGTTCCCAAAGTGGGCGGTACCACCCCTGGGGGCGGTGGGTTGCCTTAGTTGGGAGCTAAGAGGCAAGGGGACTGGTAGGGGGTGCTAAGAGGTGGCAGGGGGGCGTT